GAGAAACAGAGCATGACACACACTAAATAATGCAGGCTGATAGGGTGACTTGCTGTTGTAGGTGATGCTTTTTTAAAAAATATATATAATATTTCAAATGCATTTTGCTGCACTGTGTGCAACTCATTTCAATTTTTTACTTCTTTTAAAATATTTGGCTCCTTTTATTTCTAAAAATGCATTTACTAATGTAACCAACTATACATTTAAAAAGAGTAATAAAAAATAGGTAAATTAGACTTCAGTTGAGTGTGTGCAAGTGAAAAGAGTTATATTTTGTGACGTTACATGTGATGGATTTCCTTCCCCAAATTAGGGAAAACACAAACTGTCGAATGAATACCTGCCTTCCTAGTAACTTTGATGGGACAGCGCAATGCTGCTTTACACAGTGGCGATGCAGGAGCGCTTAGGACTCAGGACTCAGAAATGAAATGTTGTGGGGAAGCAAGATAACATCACTCAGATAATTCCATTTTGTCAAATAACTGAACAGAAATCGGCATTTCCCACATCGTGCGGCCAAACGTTATATTTTTAATTTAATATCATCTTCAGGAAATACCGTTAAGCTGAATCACTCAAGCGGGAATTACTTGGAACCCATCAAACGTGCCCATCGAAGACAGTGAAGTGCAATCAGTATGCAAGTAAGCAAAAAAAAAAACTTTCTTTAGCGAGAACAATAAAACTAGAATAACTTTCTGGATAATGGCAAGGAGTGAGCACAAAAACGTCAACACTGCTCACATTGTGTACCTAAGCATCTTCATGCATTTTCAAGACGGTACCGGAGGACAGGGTTTGCCCAGTACAGCACGGCATTTTTATTTGTGAGCTGAAATGAGGTCCACGGCTGTCCTTTTTAACCCCCTTCCCACCCCCCCATTGGTGCGACCAGACAGCTGCAGTTAGCGCCTGCAGAACGCACTGTCCTTTCTGGCACTGAGCCCCGGTTAGATCCAGAAACGCAGCAAACATCAATTACAACACATTAACTCTCGGTACAGCGGCGGAGTATAATTAAAACTACTTTCATCTGCACTCATTTGCTTCCGGTAATTTTCAGACGCATTAACGCTGAAAGTACGGATTCTCGGAACAAAAAAAAAAATCTGCACGAAACACAGAAGGAAAAATTAACTTCCAGATTTACCTGACTGGTTGGGCCTTAACGGTTGTTCTTAAGTTGGAGAATTTTAGCAAAAGTGAAATGTGAAACTGTTGGTTTCTCTGGGGGGGGCATAATGTTTCCCCAGAGAAACCAACAGAGGCCTTTGAAATCACATTTCACTTTTACCGCTTTGAATCTGCATGTCGCCCGACTCTCACAGCAATATCAGAAAAATAAAAACAATTAAAGCATCTACTTTTTTAAACCAAAAGAAGTCTTCCTTTCGAAACACGCCAACAGACCTGATGGCTGTAGCTGTCTTGCATAAAAAAAAACTATAAAAAAGGCCACTAAAACCCACACCTCCTTCCTCCGTAGATCCCCACGCATCTGAGTGTTAACTTTGTCGTTTTTAATTGTGCCCTCCATCCTGTCCCTGCTGCAGACCTGTAATTAAACACGCCAGGTGTGTATTGCTTTCAGACTCTACCTCTGACTTTTGCCTCCGACAAAAGGAAAGACAAGTAATTTGGCTGCCTTCACTTCAATGTCTTTGTGGGGAGAGAGTGCTCTGGCTACAGCCTTACACCGACAGCCTGGAAAGCACAATGAAAGGGGGGAAATAGGACTGAGCCTTTTAACAAAGAGGCTCTAACGAGACCTGCTTCAAGCCCCAGGTGAGAGCACCATCCGGATTACACAGTGCCCTGTGGCACTGCACAGGGGCTGCTCAGCAAACAAATGAACACTCAGCTGGTCATTGAATATCTGTGAATGGCCAAAAAAATGACTGTTTGGAACATTTTAGCTGTTAATCACCCAATCTAAAAATAATGAGGAAGGCTTGTTATTTCAAGAATCTGAATCCCCAGGCAGGCATTGACTAAGAGGAGCATTGCAGGTAGCAATCATCCAGCACTGCAAAAAACCCTCTAGCGCCCTCTAGTGAAAGCAAAGGCTGCTTTTTTTCACAGTCCCTCACAGCTGCGTGTACACCTGGTGGAAACAGGCGGGGATTTCAGCCCTGAAAATGACAGCACTCAGCAAGAAGCCCGCACCATGGCACTAGGAAACTGAGGTTTAACTCGCTTCCTGTTGAGATCTGCAGTGTGATCCTCCTGACAAGTCAATTCACGTTTTAATTCTGCATTTCAGTAAGGTCTTCCTCCCACAGGGCCATCCTGTCACATTATTGAATAAAGAATAAAACATTTTATATCTCTCTTTCTACATTGATTTTGATTTTAATGACAACACCTGGAAAGTTTTACTTATAATGTAAGCTCTCTTGTCTTCCATTACACTTCCTCAGAATTTCTCCCTCTTCTGGGAGAAACAGCCCATTGCAATTTTGGTTTTATATTTTCAACATTAGCATTGATCATCTATAAACTAATCGGGTGCATTTGTCAAGAGGATGTTTCATCATTACTTCGGAATTATTTTCCTTATTACGTGCTACACCTGCTGTGATGGACAGCTTTCACGTTACTCATTCTGCTGTTTCTATTTAGTTTACTGCCAATACTACACAGCAGAAATAGCTCCTGTAAAGGCAATGGGGGTCTCTTTAACAATTAACAATGCAATAGGAAACAACAGCAGAGCACCAGGAAACCAGGACACACACAGAGAGAAATCACTGAAAGGGTGCTGCAGATTCATGCCGAGTTTCTAGGTTTGTTCATATTTTGTTTCTATTTTAAAAATGATTTATAGTTGTTGAAGATGGAGCATTTTCCTCACAGATTTTAATTTTTGTGGCAACAGGGTTTCCAATGTGAAGCACAAATCACTCTAAATGCTCTGGCAAGTATCCAGCTCTATGAAATGTCTAATGCAGTTCCACTAGAACAGTGAATGGTTGAGACACATGCAAGTGCAGAGACCATTTGTCTATAGATATATGTTACACACTGACAGCAGTTTGGAAATATGGCCTTGGTAAATCTGACAGTCTTCTAGACTCACAGGGATAAAAAGTCAGAGTATATAATCTCATTGTCGACTCCTGAAATTGCACCCTTGCCCATCCCCTCCCTCTGGCTGACTAACCAAGTCCAGCTGTACAATAGACCACGATGTCTGAATACCCCCCGAATTAAATTCCACCTCTTCGGTCACCTTTCCACAGCACAAACAAGGAAAGAAGCCTTTTCTGACAATCGCGTTACAACTACAGGCTTGACACATACAAGAGGCACGTTTAATTGGACCATTCTGCTATGAAAAATTATTTTACATGGCTGACAAGATGGTAAACCCCCCCCCCTTCCTACCACCACCCATGACACAGCAACTACAACAAAAATCAACCCTGATCTATCAACTGCTTAGCAGTGTGCATCATTTGAACTTTTCCCCTTCGAGCTTGGCTCATGACATTAGGTTGACATTTAAGCTCATCCCACCCACAGTCGTTTTCCTCCGACACCATTTCACAATGTGTGATTCCTGCATTAAAGCCTGCTGTCTGCTGGCTATGCGAGACATTCCGTAATTAATTTGCTAATGTCATTGTTTTACCATGTACATCACACCAAGCTCATGTGCACGGCCATTCAAGCTGCAAACCTATTCCCTCTTAAGGTTATGCAGCAATTAGCCCTTAAGTCATTTGCTCTCAGGCCTATAAATTAAAAGGCACGTACATGCAGAACCTTAGATGAATCAGAAAGCTGGTCATGAGAGCACAGCCTGCATTTATCTCATACAGCAGCTCTCTGGGTCTTCTGAAATAGCATGCTCCACACCACAGCCTGAAGCAGCATAGTGCAGTGTCAGAGTGCTTCCACAAGGACAGCTTGTACGGTGAATATTCCCTTTACACTTCGTCACAACACATTCATGCAAGATACCTAGTTCACAGGGACCTGAAGGCATGGAATGACATTCCATATGTCTACATGAGAACAGACTGTTAAACTGAACCAATTTTAAATGAGTGGTATTGTTTAACTTTAGAATCATTATTTCACTTATTTCATTGTACAGAAATGAAAAGCACTTTTGAAGTGCTAAACTAAGAACAGAATAAAAGGCTCTACCTTAAACATCAGGTAGGGAATGAAACATGTTTCTTTTCCTCCCAGTCATAAAATCAAAGAGAAGGGCTCAGGACCGCAGTGTTTGACAAAATAATCTCATGACACAGCCATTCACTTAAAACAACACGCAGGTCTGCACTTTCTTTTTTAATGACAGATTCCCGCAATGAGCAAAACTCCAGAAAGAGAATTTATGATGGGCAGCCATAGAGTGAGATTTTACTGTGCCACACACCAAAACAGGCAAACTCAAAATGATGCACGGCTTTAAAGTCAGCATACGAATCAACTTCAAAATTGGTAATTTGTTACAGACACCAGCTAAAACCTTTCCAATTTTGGAAAATAATTATTTTTTAAGTTTTTACATTTGGTAACTTTCTACACTGTTGCTTATCTCCCAACGGAGGATGACCAGTACCATCCTTGACACTCTTCCAAGATCCGCTGAGATCAGACTAGAAGGCAGTAATGCTGCTGACTGGAAGAGTGAACTGTTATCAGTAAGAGCTGTCAAGTGTACCCTGACACCTGGCAAACCCCAAGGGTCTTTGCTGTAATGCAAGTCGAAGATAGCCAATCTCTCAAAGCAGCCCCGCCCTGGTGTTGTTTGACACATTGTACACTGCTTCCTGGGGAATCCTGATCACTGTTGGCTAGCATCACTGAATCAACCCAATATCGAAAAGGTGTGCTTTAACTCCATGTTGAAATTACACCAGCTCGGGGAAACTGCAGTGCTTGACAAAACAAGCTCCTGCAAATAAAAGCACCCTTTACCAGCAAGCAATTGTGAAACCAAAACTTACACAGCAATTCTGAGAAATCGGAAACTGTTGTTGTATCTAAAAGAGCAATGTTTTTAATAATGAATTTTACAAACTGTAAAATGCAACATTTCATATTAACAGTTAATAATTCTAGAACCGTTACCCCCACCTTCTCCTCAACAGGTCAAGCTTTTCACAAAATATTGCATTTGCCATTCTAACACTTTGTAGACTTGAAAAACTCAGATGAAGACTTACAACTATAAGGTAATTACCCATTTATTTAGTGGCACATTTTGCAAACTAGAAATTTATTTTCAAACTCTTTATCGTCTCATCTGCAAAAAAAAAGAAAAAGCAACAATTCACAAGCAAGGAATGCAATTTGTTCAACTGACTCCAAACAGACAGTACAGTCTTCAGGTTAGGAACAAAGCTTTTCACAAATATTTTTCTCCTTTGGAATCAGTACATAATACAAAATATACAATTATTGAACCTCTGTGTAATGTCAATTACGCAGATTTCTAAGTAGCAGTTGAATCAACATGGACAATAATTTACTATAGCATTACACAATCTACATACATGAAAATAGTTCTGCTTTATTATATAATTTTTATTGTTAAACATGAAAATCTTATTACTGTTCCATATGTATTACATCTTTTGAAGGGTAAGCAATCAAACATGCTTTCCAAGCTTCAATATATATGGATTTTTTTTTAAAACATTTGATTACTGAGACACCAGGTAAAAAAATCTATTTGATGAAAATAAAAACACATACCCACAAAAAATATACATGGTTAAAATGATGAGGCTTTTGTATGAAGACCAACAAAGCAATTCCAGTTCCTTCAAATTCAAGGAACCAGATTTGCAGGTGCTGGGGTAGAGTTAATTTAGTAAGGCAAAATGGTGAGCTTATCAGTGAATTAAAAGTTAGCAGGGTGGGCTTCATTAGTTGTCCAAATTGCAATTTTAAACACTAGGTCACAGAGAGATGCCTGCCATTATCCTATTTTAAAATTACACTGATGCCAGAATACGACTATTTATGTCTCAATTTAGGTGTTCACTGTCACGTGTGGACCTCTGAGCAAACATGAGCATTATTTTTAATGGTTTAAAAATGTTTTACATCTGCTGGTTATCACTCCCAGTAGACTACAACCCTGCTGGGGAGGTGGGGATTTTCTCCTAAAAAAAATCCTCAAAAAGTGTGTCCACAAATCAGTGCAAATGATTTATCTTTAAATTATACACAATAGTGGTTCATCATCATCAGACTTACAAAAGTATGATTCTAGTATATAATTCAAATACCATTAGGAAGGGTCAATAATTACCAAGGGTATCTGAACACGAGGAAGAAATGAATCATTGTCTGAAAATTTCATTGATATTACAAACCATAAGCAATCATAGTAGGCACCCTTTTAGATCTTTTAAATAACATTTGAATCATGTGTTGCTCTGTTTGTAAAATCGACACCTTTGTAGAAATATAAATGCACGAGAACCTTGATAACTGAAGACCCAATCCATCCCCCACCCGACACTTCCTCCCCTAAGGACTGAAACGGACAAGTGGGGGAAAAAAAACAGACCAGACCAATACGTCTGTGCAGTAATGAAAAACTTTAAACCAACTTTATGCTCACTATGAAAGGAGAGCGGACAACAAGCAGGTGCTAACACTAGTGTATGCTTATGAGGTATTATAGGCTTTTTGTGTTGCTGAAACCGCAGAACCAACTGATGACATCAACTTTTATAACTGCTACGAAACGTAAGAAAACCGTATACCATTATTTAAGCAACAATCTGCCAAGGTCGATTCATTTTCTACTATTAGTTCTGGTATCTCTGGTCTGTGTTGTATGGCTTCCCTGATCTCATTCAAGCAATTACAAGCCCAGGAGGAGTCTGTGTCTTTTAGTATTATTACCACATAGAAGCAAGTGTCCAAAAAAAGAAATAACTACAGCACATTTAATACCTTAAACAGCTTTAAGACATTTAAACCACACCCACTGTAATGAACATAAAACTTAACAATAATGAATATCGAGTGAAAATGCTTTTCGGTAGATTAAGATCATTTCGATTTACCTTTCTAAATGTAACACTGACACCTATGTAACCAGAACACCTATTGCACACCATTCAGATTCTAAAGCTATACAGTGGATATGAAGAAATAGTGTATAAAAGCAAAAGTGAATGTTTTTAAAAAGGCTTTCTCTAAAATAAAATGTTTATTCCAGTCTGAAGATAAACCATAAAAATAAAGTATGAACACTTAAATATCTCAATGCAAATGTTTCAAGTGGGTTAAGCAAATTAAATTTTCCTTGTTTGTACTTTATTTCTATACATGAATGATTTCAGGATTTATTTTATAATTTTTCAAGAAAAATGATAGCTTATAACCAGAACAAAATGCATAGATTTTTCAATTCTAAAACAACTGGTTTACTATTTATGTGAACAAGGGCTCAGCAACATAAATTAACTCAGTACAATCTGAACACAAACTGTGCTAATAGAGGTGACTCACATAGAGAAAAGAGAACAGCTTGATATTGAGTGCGTGCGCGCAAGAATTTACCTTGGTTCCCTTACAAAATGAAGAGGAAAAACTTGTAGCTGAAAAAAACATCTGATTTTTCCTCCATTTACACATGGCTGACATTTAAGGCTACATTAGCTGTAAGATTCACGTACACAGAAGGCAGGTTGTCTTCATACAGTCATAGCCACAAGTCTGCACATCCTTTATAATGAGAAAAATGTGGAAACTGATTAAAATATATACATAAAGAATGGATAATAAAATGAAAACATAAAATCTATGTACATTAACATGTTTTTTCACAATACATGCAATGTCTGCACACCCTATGTCTTGCAAAGGATTTGGAAACTTTTGCCCATGACTGTACGTTTACAGATAAGAAGAAATTGAGAAATACTAGCACCCTCTGCTTGCATGTTTTTAACTTCATCCATTTTTTTCACACTAATACATTTTTAGTCTTTAATTTCAGACTTTTATTCTCACTACTTGGCTGCAGGAGATAAGGGTAAGCCACTGTTTCTAAATGTAATCTTCTGCTAAAAAAGTGCCATCAACACTGATTTAAAAAAACTTAAAGAAATATACTCCTAATATGTGGCTAAGGGTTACATCATTAGATTGTCAGTTTTCAAAGAACACGTTTGAATATTAATACACCCTGTGTTGGTTACATCAGTACACTTAATCTCCAGAAGCTAAGTAGTTTACAAGCAACAAGCATTTACTTGGATTTCTTTATTTTTATTGAACCTTAAAAAGCTTCAGACAATCTATTTTCTTTCATGTTTAGTAACATTTTCTTTAAAAAAAAAACAGGTCAAAAACACACCGGTTTTGCCACAATGCGTTTTGAAAACTGGCGACGATTAAAAATCTTCAAAAATATATCACTTAATGTTGAATATAGCTTTAGAGTCAGAGAAGCATGTATGTCTTAAAAATCTTCTGCACAAAGCATTCAATTACACATAATAGCAGCAACCTCAGCCAATCCCACTCCTGAGAAAGTGAATTATCTGCTAACAGCAGAGTAAATCAAATCACACAGAAAAGATGTACAGAAGATCTAGGGCCCCCTCCTTGCATTGCTTTTTGTTCATAGTTAAGGTTAAGTAAAGGGAAATGATAAAAATTAAACCTCAGAACAAGCAGTTTTCTAGCAAACAGAACAAACTGCAGCAGCTATCCACCAGCTCATTGCTAAAACACTCCCTCAAAGATCTTCTTTCAAACGTTTAACATCAAACTGGTTTTACAAGAGCCCTCCATCTTAGAGGGGGGGGGGGACAAGACTCTAAAGGTACTACTGCTCACTCAGCATCTGTAGTTTTTTGTTTTTGAAAAGCGGAGGGGAAAAAAAACCATAAAAATAATTAGTGTCGTCAGGGCGCGGGCTCTCGGACGCCAGGGAGAGAGAGTATGAAAGCAGGCCCAGCGTGCCTCAGAGCGGAGGAGACAACCGCTTTGGGCTTCCGAACAGTCACCCCACTGCAGCTCTGATGGGCGGGGAGCGGGGAGCGCATATCATGAAGCCACTTCTACAGTGGGCGCCGTTCACAGCGGTCGAGAGCGAACCCACTCTCAAGGGCTAAACGCAGGACGTGAATGGCGTCAGGCCTGACCTGGGGGATCCCGGCGGCAGGGGATGAAAAGGCGAGATCAAAAGCAGTTGATAGGGTTCCAGTGATAAAAATAAAGCCAGGACTGAGTCACACATACCAGAAAAGAAAACCAAAAGAGACGGTAGGTGGAGAATGTCATGAGCCACGATTCTGTTTGCTGGATTAACAAGGTCTACCACGCGCTTGCTTGTCATTTACCCGTTTCTTTAAAGAATAAAAGGGAAAAAAAAAATCAGTAGGACTAACAATAATATTCACTGAACAAATATTTGTTGCATCCCAGAAGACCAGAAAAAGGCAGACAGTGCTTTTAGTTTTTACTTAAACCAACTCAAGCTTCATTAAATACAGGCGCTTTTTTTTTTTTTGCTTTCTCTTTCATACATGGACAATTGCACTTTACAAAAACAAAAAAAATTATACAACACACAAAAAAGCTAGAGTCCAATTATTACAGTAAAGAATTGTTTAAATTTATAATAAAATTTTCCATTATTGTTCTGACTTTTTCTTTTTTTTGTTGAGGACCAAGAAAAAAAAAACAAGAAAGAAAAGAACAAAGGAAAGGAGAACACTTCACTTCCTTGGGCAGATAGTTGCAGTACTGTAGTTGTTTCTGTATCTCCTCCTTCCCAATCGCACATTCCCTTCTTAAAATAAAAGCTCTGAGGACTGACGGTAGACAGACTGATGAATGGTGTTCTTGGTTGGTGGCTGTATGTAAACTCTGTGCTAAGCAGGCGGTATTACCACATGTCGTCGGTCGATGCCGAGTCCTTTACAAAGAAAAGGAGGAAGAGACCCTTTAAAGCCTGGAGTGTCCACAAGCACAGCAATTTCTGGATATCCCAGACTGAAAAGGGTTAAAAAAGCTTTGATAACTACTTTGGGGTGGAAAGACACTTGCAGTGAACACAGGTGGTGTTGACCGGTTATTTGTACAACGACAGGGGGTTGGCTGGACGGTTACGAGTCTGAAAGGTGCCCAAGGGACAGCAACAGTTTGAGAAATGAGGGGATGGTGGAAGAACTGAGCCAGCAGGAGAGTTAATCCCAAATAAAAACAACCACAGAAGTGAATGTATGACAGTTCCACCCAATCAAATCAAGTTCTCACCCAATGTAAGAAAGGACAGGCTGACAGACCACTAAAACTAAAAAAAAAAAATCAGTCTCTAAAAAATATTATCTTTTATGATGATCCATAACCTTTGCAAACCGAAATGCAGATATAAAAACGATCATTAGCGAATGGAGGAATCAGTGTGTTTTTAATATATTACTTTTCTTAATATTTTATCCATGTCCAAGACTCACAGTAAGTTAAGCACAAGGTGTAAAAACAAGCGAATGCTTCTGCTGTTTAATTTTAAATGACAAACATAAATCTGTAGTTGAGTCTCGTCTACTTTTTTCAGAGCTCTGTTCCCAATTTCTAGGCTGTTTGGTTAAAGATTGATAAAGACTATAGCAGTCAGAGACAAGGCAGAACACCTTTTCTACCACAAAAGGCTACATAATTAATAAGCGTCATGCGTAATATAGTACGTTCTTCATGACAAATTGCACAAACTGTAAATTATGGAGGAGAATGGAATACTTTCTCCTGTCATCTCTGCTCATTAAAGCCCTGGAAAGGGAATATGCAGATACTACAGCAATGATTGCTGGGTAATGAGATGAAATTAAAGAAAATCCATCAAATTAAACATAACCCAAAAGAAAAAATGACATTTAAACAAGCAGATGGAGACCCATGTTTATGTATTACAGTACATTGGAAAAAAATAAGTAGATTAAAAAAAGTATACTTGTTTTTGGTTCAGAGCAGCTTTAAAATCTTGGTTAGAAATCGTGATTGTGATCTTATGAGTCAGGAGACCAAAACCCAAATTTGATCATGCAACAGAAGATTCACAGAATTAACAAACATGGAAAGTGCTAAATAGCAAGCACATTGTTGTATAGTTTGAAACAGTTAATGCCAATTCGTTAATAAAGCATAAAAATTATGGAAACAAAAACCTTACACCAAACGGACACACAAGCAACTCAAGACAGAATTACTGAGGCTAAAGGGAGATACTTACTGTGTCATCACTCCTGTATGGGTTGAGTCTGTTATATACGGCTTCAATAACACTCCGTCTGAAAAAAAGAAATTGAGAAGATTAAATCCCTGTGTTATGTGTATTGCTGAACATCTTTTTATTCACTCATTTAATTTAAAGAAAACCATGCTTATCAGATTGCTAAACCTTTCTGTTCTGAGAAATACAGCAGGAACGCTTACTCAAAGAATCATGAATTCTCATTAGAAACTTTTAAGGCTCCAGATAGTCTTTTTCCTAAATGTATGCTTTTGGTGAAAAGATAAGGAGTTTATCAAAGGAACAGACAGGACTGCTTACAGTTTCTGTGTCCAGTTTCTCTGACATTTTCAGTCTCTTAAACAGGGTCAAGTACAACCCTGATCCTATTTACAATTCATCCATGAAAAAACAAATCGCTTTCTTTAAAAAAAAGCTTTCAAGCAAGCAAATGTGGTTCACTAAAAAAATGTTTTATATCCTTTTAAAATAAGCAGAATGTGTAAGTATGTGGCGGGAGAGCGTCACGTCTTTGCCTTTTACAGTTAATGTCTAATACCTAACAATAAAAAAAAAATAATGCATGCTTTGCAGTATATAAAAACATCACAGGGTTTATTGTATCCTTAAGTACCGTAAATATTTAATCTTTCATTTGCACTCCAGAATCATGACAGATATGGAGCTTGTTTCACATAGTGCTGTTTTCAATAAATCATAAAACTGCCATGACAAATGGCTGTCGTGCAGAGCACATATTATTAAAATCATATTTGCAACATAAAATAATCTATCCACTTGGGAGTTCATTTTTAATGCCCCCTACTTGAGAATAAAAACTTTAATTCACAACTTTTACTATTTAAACAAGACAAAGCAGCCAGCACCTTTGCATCTGAACTGGGAGTCATTCATCATCTGTGCCATGTGAGACAATCAATACATCAAGAACTAAGTCAAACCCCGTGATGGATAAAAGCCAATGATTCGTTTAAAACGAGGAGGGGGTAACCATGTAGACGGTAATCCCATTAATTTGTTGAACACAGGGCACATGCAGTGGTTCATATCCACCAAAAACAAATATGACAAGCCCAGCCACTTAAAATGATTGCTGCTATCTGTTACCCCCCCAACAGACCCCACCCTTCCCCACAAAAGGAAGGCTGTCATGCAGTTTTACAACCTCTCTGAATGGCTTAACCTCTCATTCCCGGCTAAAAAAAAAAATGCAAAATATATCACTTGATAAAATGTTAATGCAAGCTGACTTAACAGCATAGGCTTGTGTGGAAAGATAACGGTTCCACAGATCTTTACTCCGTCACGACTAAATGAACTTGCAAGGCTACACCCACAATGCACTCACTTGCTCGCCAGCTCCCCCCCTGGCGGGAGATTGGGGATGCTCTCCGTCGCTAATGTACGCATCACGTGGACTAAGTCTGGCACTCCTTCGTCACCCTGCTTCTTAATGATCTCTGGGAATCAGAAGGACTTCTTGGTAAGTGGGATGTCCCGCATAAGCATCAGAATTATCACTTACTATAAGCATGTTAGAAATAAAAACTCTTTCACACAAAATCTTAGCAAAATGTGAGTCACCATTTGCAGCTAAACATGTTTCTCTCTGATGTTACTGCATAAGTGTTATTCCGCCCCCCCCCCCACTCATTTTAAAACTGCGTTAAAACAACCCAGGAAAAAATAAAATCTACAAATTCAGTAATATTGTGTTGGGCTTGGTTTGTTTGTACTAGAGCATACTTTGAATCATGTGTTACATCAACCCTGAGCACACACCTTCAAGTATAATTTAAATACATTTTTAAAGATGTTAACGAGTTGCAACTGATCATTCTTAATATTTAAGCTCTTTACTGTGACTTAGCTGAATAAAATAAAATGCCGACACTGGTGTGACTAAGGCTATCAATTCTTTGAATAAAAAAGCCAAGGATCTCAGAATCAGTTCAGTAAATATCTTTATTAGAGTCATCGTTAACATCTAAAATAACAACATCACAGTTATTCTCTACATACTTCTAATGCTTGAGTTCTACTGTACAAAAATAAAGATTTCTACTTCAAGCTAATCCCCATATATAAATACTAAGCTAAGAAAATTTAAAAACCTTTGAAAATAAGACCTATAACAGTTACCATTTTAAAGAGTCTATCAGACCTAATACAGACATAATGAATCTGTAGTTACAGGTAGGGAAACGCAAGTCTGCTTCACTGGCTCCGTTTCTTCTAGGCAATAACCTGCTTTCACACCCATGCTTGGACCCATCTTGGAGTTAACGTTTAAAAATCCAGTTTAACTATGCGTTAGCTTCATGAAAACAGAAAATGATGGATCCTACTCGTAAAAGTATTGCAACACAAGATCTGAAATACACACACAGACAAAATTGCACACAGAAAGGATGCTTGGAAACGTAAAGTTAGTTTTAAATGGTTACAGTATGCCAAAAATCATCTCTTATTAAGAGTAATACACTGTATAAAAAAACTGAAAGTGCAAACCTGTGAACCTTCTCTGTACTTTTAGTTCAGTAAAAGACATGCTGGCCCCTAGTTAATGCCAGTGAAGAGGTCAATTAAGTCTAAATTTGCACCACTGAAATACTACTTCCAGCAGGTAACTTTATAAACAAATGTACCAGACAACAATACAGTAACCTTTAAATAAATAAAATAAATAAATAACCCTTTATAGATTTTCTCAAAAAACAAATTTCCTAAAAAGTGAAGCTCTCCTTTCAAACGTAACCACCCTGTGAACAAGGAACACTAGGTGCAGGTAGCTGTCCTCCCGATTCCTCCAGGTCACCACCTGCCACCATTCTTCCTCACAAAATACCACTGCCAACATATGCAGAGCTCAGCTTAGTAATGTCTAATCGTTAACAGCACTGGATAAACAGAGTCACTTGTGGTTAACCAGATTAATAGTTTTTACTGCATTTTTACTGCCTCACCAACTTGGAAAGCCCATTTAAGTAATGGGCAACCTCCACATGTGAGTGCAGGATTGAAAGACTGCAAAGGCAGTCAATTCATTTGGCAAGACGCTCCGCAGTACATTATCAATACTGAAGCACGAGGGAGTGGGAGTAAGACTGATGAGATACTTTACCTCCAATGACTGACATCTCCCTGAGAGAAGCCCACCACCTTCTGCAGGTGCCTGATCTGTCAGGACTTGCTCCCAATGTTGCGATTGCAAAAAAATTAAATAAACTACCAAGATTTTGAAGCAAAACGATTCTGCACTCCAAGATGTTAAACAGTGCATTGAAGATTTAAACTAGCAACTTTCCCATCACATCCCCCTGACCTTGAATAGCATACCACTCAGCCATATGAAATTCTCACACTATGTTCATCATACCAAGACCAGTGAATACTATTAATTATCTGAAAAACGTAACTGAAATGAACCTGCCCATTCCCTAAGTCAAAACTTTGCGTCTTCAAATACCATAAGTACCTTGGACAAGTTAGACATGAGCACAACAAAATTATAAAATTACCTGCTGTAGCACATACCTGTAAGGCTGCTTACAGTGCGTAACACTGTAGGACCAGATTTTAACTGTGACAGAGAGTGAAATGTAGTAAAGCAGTAATTAAAAAATGTCTGCTATTGGCCATGGATTTCTAAAAATGCATTGTTTTAAGATGAACCTAATGCAGTAAAAAAAGGAAAAAGAGGGAAAATAGAAAAGTACCTCTTTTACAACTCCTACCCTTAAACAACTTCAGACTATCGGCAAATATGGCCAGAGTCCCCTGAAAAGGGGTCTTACCGCTAGTTAAGACTTTTGAAGGTTTTGTGGTTAATTGACCTGTCCAGCATTCAAAGCTGTCGTCAACAACTGCTGTACTGCACATCACAGTTGCCTTCAGTCTTTGGGATTGTAACTGCAGTTATTCAGTTGTTACTTTCTTTAACTTTAATTACCATTGTCTCACTGTACATTTACACAGCATAAAAGTATGTGCAAACAAACTAAGCTGTGAGATATGTTAAATGATTACACTCATAGATGCGATTACAAAGCACCAAGATGATGAGTTTATACTAAAAACGGAATATTCCAACAGTGCTTTATGTATATACTGTATACTTTTAATATAGATGAAACAGCAATCCTGATTTGGCCTCTTTATTACATGTTCCCTACATATAGCAGCTTTCATAACAAACATTTATGACAAGAGACTGACATTTCTGCAAAGCGTTTAGAGCTTTTTTTTTAAATAACTGCAATATTTTTCCTTCAAAAAGAGATAATTACTTCCTTTTAGCATATTTGATCATGCAAAAGTGATATCTCTAACACTTGATTCATCAGGCAACTGAACAAAATGGGGATCGAGCTGCCATTGTTGAGCCATTATGGCACGAAAGAACTGGAATTTACTTGGCAAAATATAACAATGGCTCTCGAGAAACAACGCTTTTTGTTTCTTTGAGGAGTTAAACGGCCAGGTTTAACTACTTCTGCACTAAAGCCACAAAACTCTTGGTATACTACTATGCCTATAATAAGTCAATTATAACAGCATTTTAACGTTAGGAGTTTTATATGGGTATACCACGTTTTCATGAGTTTTCTTGGCCACTTGAGATACCACATAGTACACTTCGTTTAATTAAGCTGCTTTATGTAATGTAACTATTTATTAGCCTTTTTAGATGCTCCACCTTCTACTCGGCTTTCCAGGTACTTATCCAGATCTGCCTCTTTCTTCACTGCTTCCGGGGATACCTTGGGAGCACTGGAGAAACAGATCAACACCACACTCATGTTGTCCCGGCTTCCCTGTCAGACGAAAAAGAAGACATCAGTCACGTTACGTCCCATTGAGGACGTAATCATCTGCCACACAGGTCGCACAACGCACGCGACAACTTTCAAGGGCAAGAAAGAACTCAAGAGTTAAAGCTTTCTCGATTCCAACGGCAACGAAAGCCTTTTCGATTACAACTTCCGGAATGGGAAGCAATGACGAGCGCTCTGCGTTTTTAAAAACCGCGACCCCTCACCCTGCAGCCATCTCGGGTCTGTCTAGCGCGCAGCCGGCAGCATTCGATTTCCAAGCCTCACCGAGCTTACCTTGTACAAACAAGTGTCGACAATCTCATTGCACACTTTCTCGAGGTCATCCGTCACTTCCAGCCTGGACCTGACAAAGTCACACAGTTCTTCGTTGGCCATGACATCCCAGATGCCGTCGCACGCGAGGATGATGAACTCGTCTTCGGGCTCGGACCTCTCAATTTCGTACACCTCCGGCTCGGGGGAGACCAGCTGCTCCGTGGGGCCCTTTCCGTGCACGCACTTGTAGTCGAAGTCCCCCAGGGCCCTGGACACGGCCAGCGAGCCGTTGACGCGCTGGATCATGACCGAACCCCCCGCGTTCTGGATGCGCTCTTTCTCCAGCGGGTTGCTGGGCTTGTGGTCTTGCGTGAAGAAGTGGACCTTGCCCGCCCTGCTGAGCAGCCCCCGCGAGTCCCCGCAGTTGATGAAGTAGACGTGCTTGGGGGAAATCATGGCGCCCACGGCCGTGGAGCCGCTCCGGTCCACCCCGTGCTTCTTCTCGGAGATGGCGCGCATGTGCTCGTCGATCTGCAGGAAGCCCGTCCGGATGCCGCTCTTGACGTTCTCCACCGTGGGCTCCGGGGCGGCCCCCTGGAAGTCCGGGTTGTTTGTGATGTGCTCCAGCAAGTGCTCGCAGCAGTACTTGGCCACCTGCGAGCCGGCGTGCCCGTCGTACACGGCAAAGAACGACCACAGGTCCAGCCCGCCGGGCAGGCCGATGACCGCCGTGTGAGCGTCCTCCATCTCCACCCGCCAGCCCTGCATGCTGCTCAGCCCGTAGCGCAGGCCGTTGCCCTCCCCGTGGGCATTGTGTTTCTCCATCTTTGGCTTGTCCAAAAACGCACCCATTTTGTTTTCCTTTTATTTTACTCTGCAGGGGGATAAAAAAAAAAAAAAAAAAGGAGAGGTGGTTTCAGATCGTCAGCTGCTGCTGCTGCTATTGCTCACGGTCCGTCCCCAGAAACGGACCACGCCGGCTGACCTACAGCAAAAGCACTACCTGCAGGAGCACGTCCGATTAATACCTTCGCAGTCAAAGCGAAGACCTACATGTGCGTCTGTGAGCTGGTTTACAAGGAAATAATTCACATTTAAAAAAAAAAGACAGCAAAAAAAAAAAACTCACCCACAACATACAACATTGAAATACCTATCGCGGCTCTATAAAGCTTGGGTTTCTGCACATCAAGTGATTAGCACACTACACCACCTTCGTCGGGTACCAATACAGTTCAAAGGCCATAATGAGAAGAATTATAAACTGTCGAGTTTTAAGTGAAAAAAGAACTTTCAATGCCTATGTGGTAGTTATATACCTTAACGATATGTTGACATATTTAAATAAACCAAGGCGTTAACCCTGGTGTCCTGGCCACATTTTCCCCCGATTTTTACCAATCATGGCTTCCTAATATTCCCTGGCCGTGAAAGGGCCTCATTACTCTCCCTCCCCACTGATAGCTGATGTGTGGTGATCATAATCCATCATCCAGGTGGGGGCTACACACTGGTGGTGGTGGTGGAGGAGGGGAGTCCCTATTACCAGAAAAGCGCTTTGAGGGGAGTGTCCAGAAGAGCGCTATATAAGTACAAGGACATGACTATAATATAGTAGTCGATCACTTCCACGTAGTTGGCATGCCTTAAACTAATTTAATACTCCACTCACGCCGGCCTAAGGCTAAATTCACTTGCCAACTGCACGTGCATAAAATAAGGAGACAAAGAGAGCAAGTGGCTGAAACAGGTCATTGTATTTTTGGATACCCGGCACTTTTGCAACATTCTTCCTAGACGGCGACCGGCTAACGACAACAACAACAACAACAACAACAAAAAAAAAATCGCTAAAAATGGGGACAGGCGAAAGGCTCGTCTGGCCTTGCTGGTGTTTCATGACGCGCTCCTGGTAACGACAAACACGCTGCCCCCCACCCCCACCAGTAAACAAACAGTATCCCAATTCCGCCTTCGGCCGCTGTCAGCTGTCAGCTCCCCGGGCAGCGAGGCCCACGGAAACGGGGAGGTCGGCGGTCTTGCCTTTCACCTTTAACGTGCCTCCCGACAGAAGCGCTGCTCGCGTTTCGGGTTCTTGTTTTTTTTTTTCCCCCCCACTACGTATTCCTCGAAAGTTTTAGAGCGGTGAAGGGAAAAAAGAAACCCGGTGTTGGAAGACGGAACGGCTGCCGTTCGCCTCCGCTAAAATGATCTAACCGGCCCGTTTCTCTCGGGACTCCGCTCCGTTTGCCAGAGCCCCGCACTCCCGGGGTAAACAAGCAGCCCAGCACCGCAGTAGGCCCGGCCACAGACGTCCCTGAGGCCTAAGCGCCCCCTATCACTGGATTCACACGGCCTACCCCTCCCCCTCCCTCCTCGGGCTCAAGTGTCGGTCCGCAGCCGTGACGCGCAGCCCTGCCTGCGGCTCCCCGAGACTTACCTGGATCAGAAGCGAGCTCTGCGGGATTTTTTTTTTTTTTAAAAAAAGATAACACCAACGCAGCAGCGGCGGTTGCGGCAGTAGCGAAGGACTACCGGGAAGAAAAACACCGAAGGAAAGACAGAAAGAAGGAAGAGGGAAAGAGAGACAGAGACAGAAAGAGATAGAGCTGTGGTGAGGGGGAGAAACCGCCTTTCAATGCATTCAGATTGAAAAAGAGCGCAGCTCTCCGTCCTGGGTGAGCCAGGGATGCATTACTTTCATTTGAGAGGAAAAAATAAATTTCAAAGAGCATTCATGCAATCTAATCTTTTTTTCTCTCTACGCCAACGTGTTTTGAGAAGGCGCTCCTAACCTCAGCACTCAACCCCAGCCTCCCCGAGAGAGAGAGCCTGCACCTAACAACCTAATAACGACAGCCCAGGACCCGGATGTACATACAGCAGGTTGCGTGCTTGGAACAATTACATCATCACGATCGGGTACAAGGCAGACGCGAGCTGGGCGATTTCTGCTGTAATGTTCAAGGATGGGCGGAATCAATAGCAGAAAGTTTTTTTTGTATTATTAATACAAACGACCTTCTATAACCTTTCATTTTAAAACTGCTTGCCATTGCACGATATCGCATTACAAACTCTGAAGAATTTAAGTCGTGCACAAAAGTAGTGTTCAGGATACCCTTTTGTCTTCTGTTTTTCCATGATATAAACAAGGATCATAATTCTTCTCAGTATCAATGCTTTGAATTGTTTTTAAAGGGTTTTCCCTTGATCATACCCCTTGTTGTTAGTTCTTTTACCTAAATTTAGGCTGCACTATAATTTCACTGGAGTAGGTTATGTTGTAACATCTGCTTTCATATCACTGGGCTGTGTTTTTAGATTAATCACTATTGATAACAGATCTGCAATATAAATTTATTTTAGATCTATCAGATAAAAAGTATGGCATTAACAGAGGTCTTTTCTGTGGCATTACTGTCAATTGTACTGTTTTTTTAATATGCTGAAGCCCCAAGGAATCAGGTGGCTATAGTGTTTCTTATTTTATTCGTTATTGCAGTGGTTCCTCTGGTAGTTTTTTTTTTAATCCATCCAACCTTCTGAGGAAGTGTCTACTAGGAAAAAATACACTCCATTTACCTGGTTTACATAACTATACATAGAGTGTAAAATCTGACAGATGTGTGCAACAGCCTTTTCCAGTCCTCAAGGAGTTCCACAGAGTGCTTTCCTGCGACCCAAGTCTTTTCTCCACCTATATGAACGATATGCCCAGGCAATGAGCAGATCACACATCCACAACACCAGCTCTTGTTCAGCTGGACCCACCCAATCAGCAGTAATAGCTGATTTGCAATGTACACTGCAGGAAATTCCTTAGATTTTCTGTGATCTGTGTCTTCTGCTACCGTCTAATCAAACTATATTTAGGCTATTTCACACAAACAGACGAAGCTGCTGCCTTAGTCGCAATCACAAAATCCTTAATTTGAGATCTAGGCACCTGGTTTAATAGTGCTTTAAATTCCAAAACACATCAATAAAGTAAAAGCTCTAATCAAGTGTAGGGCTGGCTTCCTATGTTGCAGGAAATCCTATTTCACACATTCCTCAAGGTAAACACAGGTTCAAGTGTGTGTACTCCTTATCTTGGAACGTTCTGATTTTATTTACAGAAGAATTATAGACACCCATATATAGCTTTCATCACTGTACTCTTTCCTCTTTGATTACATCTGCATACAAGACAAATGCTTCATTGATTAATTTACAGATCTTTAACTGGGAAAACGTGTACTTTATTGCAATTCTGTGTGCCATTCTACAATTTGTGATGTGTTACTTTTATAAAATGAACCTCCCAAGAGCAGCTACCAACTCTGAGCACACATCATTTTCAATTTGGTGCTACCAATGACTGGGACACTCTTAGACTAAGCTGAAACCATTCCCCATTTTATCTGACGATGTTTTCAGTTGTAGCTCGTAATTATGCTACAAAACCCGAAAAACAAATTAAACTTCAAATTCAAGGTAATGAGCTATATTTGATTTACAAGATTAATATTATTGTTAATGTGCTGATCACCCTTACTACGGCCAATCCGCAGGTGATGAACACATTTCCATGCGATGTGCAGCACACAGTCCACCTCGCTTTTCGCCCGTAACAGATTCCGCAGAAACATGCTGGCGGAAGTATTTGCTTTTTGGGAGGTGTGTTTCCGGTGTTAAGGTGAACAGACTTTCACCCTTGTCACGGTAGCAAACAAAATTTGTGGTCCCCCCCTCCAAGTATTAAAAAATAAGTACAAATCACCTAAAAGACATATTTTTGGAACTCAGGATTTTTTTTTAAATTATTGTTGTTATTGTGAATTCGTCAAGCACATTGAGCAAAGATGATCGGAATGATAAAATCAAGTAATTTAAGTGTGCAGTGCTGACAGACAGAAGCCTCGTCTTCTATGCCACACTACACACACTCGTAGCTGACGTTTATCTCACCTGTAAAAGTACAGTTAACGAATTCAACAGTGACTGTAATGAGATTAGGACCTGTAAAAGATTTAACACCACCACGGCAGAAGCGGTGAAAGGTAACCCGGAGCTTGTGCACAGGTAGTCCTGGTCGGGCAGTACCGATCCACAACACGGCGGGGGTTTCTGCGCAGGCGCGAGGTCTGGGTGAAGGGTTGTTTTCCGAGTGTGAGGAGGAGAGTTGGTGAGTGAGGGGGTCGTTTTCTGCGTCACTTTGAGCAAGGCTGTCTCCAGTGAATTTACGATTTATCTAACCATTTTCCGGGGTATTTGCGTTGCACTTTATGCACCCCGTTAGCGTGTCTCCCTCGCTGTGGTTCCATCTACTCGATCAGCTTGACGGTGCTTTTCTAGTCATTGTATTGGTTGAATTTCCTGTGTGCTGACACTTTAAAGTCGCAGATAAGGGCGTTTAATCGGCAGAGAAGTTTAGATTTTTGACACGATAAGACACAGATCCCCAAGCTTCTCTCCACTGTGTGTCTCATGGAGAGCAAGCTGGGGGTATGCGAAGAGACAAATTCCTAATGCAAGAAATTGTAAAGGGTTAATAAAGTTATGTTAATGTGAATAATCCTCGTAGTGTGGCCCATTTTATCAATAACGTTGGTTATGTGCCTTGGCTTCGCAAATTCTGCCAGAAAAGTGCTGTGTTAACTGCCGTTTAAACGAAAAGCGTATTAACGATCTTTTGAAAGATAAACGTTTATCGGTGTGATTTGTGCAAATTGATAAAACATGCAAATTAACTAATAATGTCATTCCATCATACTTACAATACACAAAAATGTCAGCATGTTCGGGCAAAAAAGTTTCACATGAACATCATCTGGTGTGTGTGTTTTATTAATTAAAAAAAAAAATGAAGCCGGCCTGGCCTTTTTGCTTACTTGTGTACTGTAGAGACCGAGCTGCGATTACATGGACTGGAGTGTGTCGTCCGTGCTGTGCTACGCTGCAGCGCTGTGCTTGCTGGTTCAACTGGTTCGGTTCCTGTTCGCGGATGCAGATCTCACCTTACTGTGGGCAGCTGCCTTTGGGAGCAAGCCAAGTAAGTAGTGCTGTGTTTCTGCGAAAATAACCGCGGCAGCCAGCGCAGTCCTGCTAAGCATGTGGTCTTCGAGGTGTGCGACATGCACCTTGGATTTCAAATCATACACCTGATGCGAAGGGAACGTACATGGGTTAATTCCACGATGAAAAGGAAAAGAAATGGAATTAAATCCAAATGGGAATGTACAGTGCTTTCACAAAGTTGACGGTTCCGTGCTTCATTCAAAATCTGTAAAATTGTTCTACTGTATAACGTCAACGAATTTATTTTTTTTACCGGGAGTTGACAACTAGTCTGAGAAAATTGGGACTGCAGTTCCCCTTTAAGTCTTGAACAGAGAAACCCTGATACAGGTGTGTTGTATTTCCCAGTGTGGAATTAACCCCTGCTTTCTCCTTTGCAGCCTGCAGGCTGACACTGCTCTACACTCAAACCTATATTTATGTGTCAAAATGGGGACAGTGCTGTGGATGTTAGTGTACCAGGAACTTACTATCCAAATGTATCCATGCTTGACTTTGATGTGCTCTTCCTTCTGTGCTTCTGTGCTCAACAGAGGACAAGCTGTGTGGCAAAGTAGTGTGGATCACAGGAGCGTCCAGTGGCATTGGGGAAGAGCTGGCCTACCAGCTGGCGAGCCTGGGGGCTTTCCTGATCCTGTCTGCCCGGCGAGAGGGCGAGCTGGAAAGGGTGAAGCGCAGCTGTTTGGGTGGGTGGGTTCCCAGTGAAAGCCCTCAGTGAGAACCGCAGAGGGGACTACTGCTAGTACTTTCCCTCCTGTCCACGGTGCTTCGGGGCTGGCGGAGGAATCGGCCTTTTTAAGGCTTTGGTTTGAAATTACGATTATCTGAGCAGGATGCGGCATTGCCCAGTGCATGGGCAAACTGGGTTTCCAAACATGAATGTAGTAAATAACAGGACACACAGGTTGCTTGATCTTTGCTAGAATGCTGGCACTTTTCCCGAGCTAGCACAGATCTGTATAGTTATGCAGTAATTAAAAAAGGCTTTAGTTAGTGTCGGAGTTGACTCTAGGGTCTGAATGTGCTGTGCAGCACGCACAGAGGGAGTCTGCTGTGAGCATTACCAGAGCAGCATCTCCAACATGCTGCACACAGCCGGAGAAGTGTAATACTCCTCTCCCAGGAGCAGGGGATGATAAGACACCATGCTTTTAGACTTGGAGTGTGAATGTTACCTTTCCTGCAATGAATTCAGGACACAATTCTCCTTTTTATTTGCAGAGCGGAGCAGGCTGCAAGAAAAGGACATTCTTGTTCTTCCGCTCGACTTGATGGAGCGAGGCTCTCATGAAGCAATAGCAAAAACCGCCATCCGCCACTTTGACCATGTAAGCCTCTTGCCCTTAATAAGCGGTTCCTGTTTTTTCTCTGAGGGTGAAGTTCCTGTTTATTTGCAGTTGCTCCTGAGTGTTTAACCGTGCATGTGTGTGTGGAGAATGCAGCCGCCTGGTTGCTCCGCCAAGCTTGGTAAGCCAACAAAGCACAAAGCAGATGCATTACAAATGTCCTTAAAAAAAAATACCGTGTCATGAAGGGAGAAAGGCGATCTGAAAGAGTGGAATGCCAGGGGAGTTTTTAAATATAAATATTTTAAATATTATCTGAATTATTTGTTGAAGGAGTCATTCAGACAGGACACCCTGTGAATGCAGCAATATGGTGTGGTTGCATCTGCAGAAAGCCTTTGTGTGTGTGTGTGTGTGCACGAGCACGCGTGTGTGTACCTTGAGGCAGCACGTTGGGGGACGCGAGGGGAGCGGTGCTCACGGGGTCAGGAGTTCAGCTCCCCTCACCCTGATTCGAGTCGACATCCCAGCCCCTCCCTGCGCCTGACAGTGCTGCGCCGCCGGGCAGACGTGATGGTCAGGGACTCCTGCTCGCGCCATTACAGGGAATTACAGCATCACCGCGCCTCACACACTACAGCAGAGCCGGGCCTGGAGTGGGACACAGGCATTGATCGCATCTCTTTGACATCCATGGGCGCCGAGGCATAAATACAGGACTGTGCACCTCCTGCACTTTGGTGAGGAGGGATGTTTGACGGCTCACAGCAATTGTCTTGATTTTACCTGAGAAATGATCACCTAAGGTGCGAGCTGCCAAGGTGAAGGCGATGCAGGTGTGAGTTATAATTAATAATTAATAATTGCTTACACTTATATAG